ATAATGTGTGGAGATTATTTTAATGTGTCTGATGGTTTCTTCTAGTTTGACAGTTTTACCAGTTGACAGACAGCTGTTTCTGCAACCTGATCAGCAAATCATGGAGGGAACAGCCATATCTTGTTGTTTGACCCTAGAAACTGGCATACTGGTCATTAAAGTTCCTTCTAGCTATCATTTATAATATCCCATAGCCTTCTGCTCCAGAATTTGTTTAATTATTGGAAAATTACAAATTCTGATGCATCTTTAGTCTTTTGGGTTGTCCGTTGATTGTGAATGTGGCCTAATATGCTAATGAGCTGTGCTGTCGGGGGTGTGTCCTAATATGCTAATGAGTTTCTGCTGTTGGGTGTGGCCTATTATGCTAATGAGTTCCTGCTGGGCTTTTTCTAGAAAAAGAGCCCTGGATATAAGGATGATGAAAAGAGAATTGACAAGCCACTTTAGAAAAATACTGGACCCCAAGGAAGTCTGCATTTTTTAAAAATCTCCATGCCTTAGTCATGAATGTAGAGGGGAGAACTGACTGCAGAAGGGCCAGAAATATTACATTGTGGTAGTTCAAGAATGTGGATTTTATTTTATGTCAAATTCATTGGTAGTGAATTTGATATCCAGTCCATAAATTAAGATTCCTGTCTGTGAGGTGGTAGCATGTGTAAGCAAAAGTTACGGAATACATGTTCATTATGTTAAAGATTTGGTTTCAAATACCAGGATGCAGGACATGGGGGCAATACAAGAGATCTTAAGTTTGGTCTCATTGTTAAGGATATTGATAGTTTCTCTCCTCTCCATTTCTTTTTAAAAATATTTATACTCCACCTTTCCTATATAGCTTACAAAATGATCATAGACCACAAAAATCACAAAGCTCTCCAAAGGAAGCAAAAATCTATTGAACACCCACCAGCAGAAGACAGGATATTTCAGCTTTAAATCAGACCCTTGTGAAAAACCCCACTGAAAGAAATGGTCCTGCCAGCTAAAGTCTGAAAAAGCTCCAGCATCCTTTAACATTACAATGGTTGCACAGTAGACAAACTAAGGTAAATTCCCAGTTTTTCTCTTGTGGAGAAGGATAGGGCAGGAATACTGATTTCTCGGCTCTCATATCATCTGATTTTTTTGATTACCATTCACTAGGATTTTACAATTTGGATTTAATATTCCAGGATGTAAAGACCTAGAACTGGATATACCTTCACTTGGGGGCATTATTAGCTTCCTACAGAGAGGATCTTCAGAAGAAGTGACCTCTGAGAGAGAATTTGAAGATGGAGAGGAAAGGCGTGCTGGATTTTTAAAGAGGCCTACAGTAAATGCCAAAATTGCATTCTTGTTATAGCACCATGCTTTCCTGATTTGGAAAAATTGTTTGCCTACTTCATCGACATGTTTAAAAAGGAACATGGTATCAAAATACCCTAGGTGATAAAAATGATATATAACATTCTTAGTATTATGCTTTTTTCCCCCCAAGGTGGTAAAATCTGGCAATAAAATTCATAGTTTTGGGAAAAGGGATCATGCTATAAGGAGAAACCCTAATGTCCCTGTTGTGGTGAGAGGCTGGCTTCACAAGCAGGTAAGTGTGTTATTATCTACCTTAATGTAGCTCAAATACTTAATCAGAACTGTGCAGTAATAATTGTGCACTTTTGGTGACATTTAAAAATGCTAAAGTTGAGTACCTGGTATGTTCAGGGCATCTCAGAATTCATCCTTTATACCTTTCAGGTGTTTTTAAGTTTTGCTTTGTGTTTACAGAGGTACACATTAAGTATAGAAAACTTTGAATGAGGAGTATATTTATATTATTTACAGTATAATGTGAAGATAGCTCTACAAACATTTTAAAGAATTTAAACAGTAGCACTAAAGAGCAAAGTTTATTCTTGCATAAGGTTTCGTAGAGAGCCAGTTTGGTGTAGTGGTTAAGAGTGGTGGACTCCAATCTGGAGAACCGGGTCTGATTCCCCACTCCTCCACATGCAGCCAGCTGGGTGACCTTGGGTCAGTCACAGCTGTCTCAGAGCTCTCTCAGCCACACCTACCTCACAGGGTGTCTGTTGTGGGGAGAGGAAGGGAAAGTAATTGTGAGCCCCTCCAGGACTCCTTCAGATAGTGAAGGGTGGGGTATAAAACCAACTATTCTTCTTCTGGATAAGTCAAAGCTCACATAATCAGAAATTCTTTTCTACACCATACACACCTGTTGAAGTTTGTTTTGACTCATGAAACTTGTGCTGGAATAAATTTTGTTAGTCTTTGAGGTAACACAGGCTTCTGTTTTATTTTGCTGCAGTAGACTAACCTAGCTACATCTCTGGAAATGTTTAATCCCTTTTACACACACACACACACACACACACACACACACTCTTAAAATACTGTATTTCCATGGGGTTGTGATAGTGTCACTAGTAATAACCCTCCAATGAGAGCTTGTAATAGTATTATAATCCTCTTTTGGTGAATATGCTTTAATATACCACTGCTATGGACATAAATTATCTGGGCAGGGAGATAAAATATAGTCTGAAAGCACAGAGATTGAGTTTAGACTGTAAGGATGCAGAATTTTAAGGCAAAGAGGGACAAAAATCTCCATCTGTGAACACTTCCGGCAGAAGAGTAGTAAATTCTCATTTATGTATTATTTACGTACAATGAATGAAGACTTTCACAGGAGGCAGTAAGCAAAGAAACACTGGTCTGTTTGTAAATATTATTAAACAAGTCATTTAACTTTTTACAATGCAGATTCATATCTCTTATTTTAAATAAGTTGTACTGAGGTCGTAGCAACTATAGGCAGTGTACAAGAGATAAGCAAGGAAATTAGTATTATTGCTCTGAACAAAAAATGGTTTCTACCTAGTACATGTTTGCATCATTCTGCAGTTTTGAAAAATGAACCCCACCTGAATCAATATGCCTGCTGCAGTGTACCTAGTAAAACTGTCTTGTACCTAATTAAAAGGATACAGATATTAATATGTATGTGCCCACCAATGCTCCCTCTAAGCTGTGGAGTCTTGTGAGCAAAAATTCTACTCTATGAACTCCTGGCATTAAAGTTGTGAGTGAGCAATTTGGCTACTGCATACATTAGCTTGCTCTGGAGCCATCCCTCCTGAGCCAAGTCAAAAATGTGTGAGCCGGAGGCTAAAAAACTGTGAGCTAGCTCACACTAACTCAGCTTAGAGGGAACACTGGTGTCCACTGACCCATGAACTTGTGCTGGCCAGTGTACTAAGGCCTGCCATCTGTGCAGTGCTCATTTCCTCTGTATAGCAACTATTACTTCTAATATGCTTCATTTAATGATTTTCTGAGACAGTTTTCTAAACAATCATTTTTGAAAGGGACTTTTTGTTGTATAATGTGAGAGTGTTTTATTGGTTGATATGTCTTATTTTTTTAAAAAACCCAGAATGTAGAGAAATTTATGTCCGGATATATGTGTATGTGTGTAGGTAGGTAGGTAGGTATATATTTATACACACGTGTGTCTAGTTGCAGATGAACAAACATGCATAATTTTAAGATTGCGCTCGCTACTGCAAATGTTGTCGTGCGATGCATACATAATATATGTGTGTGTTTGTGTTTGCACGTACATATGTATGTTCTGAAACTTTTTGCTTTCAGAGGTGGAGTTCACCACCATGGTCCTACTACCTTCCACAAGTGTTCCTTCTATCCTGTTAGAATGTCTCAAAAAGGCTACAGCCATTTGAAATTGTGTTTAGCGTATAGTTATATTGTTTCCTGCATTGCTTTAAGAATCCAAGCTAAAACCTGTTGTTGGTATTTTCAGGATAGCTCTGGAATGAGGCTATGGAAAAGACGATGGTTTGTTCTTGCTGATTATTGCTTGTTTTACTACAAAGGTTAGTTAATACTGTTATGATTTTACAATGTTCCTTCAGAAGGTTCAAGTTTATTGAGTACAGTAAAGGCAGTTCATCTGTGCATACATTCTGTGTCAGAACTAGTTGCAAGCCCGCAAAATGAGAAGACATACACACTTCAAAACAGGGTCCTCTGATGGGTGGGCTCTTTTTGTAGCAGGAACTCCTTTGCATATTAGGCAACACACCCCTAATGTAGCCAATCCTCCAAGAGCTTACAGTAACCCCTGTAAGAAGAGCTCTGTAAGCTCTTGGAGGATTGGCTACATTAGGGGTGTGTCACCTAATATGCAAAGGAGTTCCTGCTACAAAAAGAGCCCTAGCCAGGGATTAATCTGAAGCCTGCCTAAGCTAAAGAGTCTATGTTCCCAGTGAGGCATGGGAAAACAAAAGTTAAGATTCCAGCCCAATAATAGACTCTACATTGGCTCTCCCCCGTCCACCTGCCATGGCAGCATAGCTGACATTCTGCCCTCCCCAAACATTCTACCCCCCCAAAGATGCCCCTCCACCAGGTTATCAGGGTACATTTTATGAAATGCACGAATCAGTTTGTAATAGACTCTGCATCAGCTCCCCCCGTCCACCTGCCATAGCAGCGTAGCTGACACCTGTCTGCTGTATTGGTCAGTGGGGATTCTATATAGAATAGTGAACTTCATACCCTCTAGTTTGTGATTTGCCTCAGTGTAGTGATTCATCATGGGTGCCTCTTCAGTGTTGTTCTTAATTCTATTTTTATGTTCCAACATTCTAGACTTTATTTGCCTGTTAGTAGATCCAATATAGGCCTTTTTGCATGGACATAATGTAAACTGAGTTACAATTATTGAAAAGCAGGGTTTTCCAATGTATACTCAGTTCAGGACAATCAAACATAGGTCCCTCTATGACCAACTCACAAGCTAGGCACCTCCCACATTTAAAGAAACCAGATGGTAAATTATTATTTAAGACTCTGGGTGCTCTAATATCTGACCTTATAATCATATTCCCAATGGAGTTGCCATTCTTCCATTCAATCAAAGGAAAGGACTCACATCCCGGGAGGTCCTTAACAATATGTCAATGTTTAAAGATTGCTCTTTTGATGTGTTGGAACACAGATGAAAACTCAAAGGGACAAGTGATTCTCTTGTTTTCAAGTTTCTGGTTGCGCTGTAAATACATGTCTCTGCTGTTCTTTTTCACTTCGCTGTATGCTGCTTCCAGTATATCACTGGGATACCCTCTTTCCCTTTTTCAACCTGCCCGCATCCCTCTTAAAATCCACCTCCCTAGTATTGTTTCTTCTAATCTTTACATATTGATTTCTAGGTAAACTATCTCTCAGATGCTTAGGGTGACTGGATCTATATTGTAGCAAATAATTTCTATTAGCTGGTTTCTTGTAGCCCTTGGCAGCCAATTTATTACCATTTTTTAAAATTGTAACATTCAGAAAGGTGATACTATGTATGTCATAAGACGCACTCAAATTTAAATAAAATTAAAAATTATATTTAAAAAGAGAGAGAGAGAATTTAATAGTAGGATGCAGAGTATTGATCCACTCACTGAATTGATTCATAATCAAGGGATTCTCTATGATCAAGAAACAGTCATCAATAAATCGGTAGTGCCTTGAAATATCCTCCCCAAATGGGTTATTGTTTGGGTCATGAATAAGTGTTCTTTCAAATTTGTCCATAAAGAGA